GGGCGAGGACGCGGCCGGGGCCGAAGCGGGGCCCGCGGGGGGCGCCGCCGCCGCCCCTTCCCCAACGGGCGAGGATGGCGAGACCCGGCAGCGCTACGAGGAACTCTGCAGGAGCCTCAACATGGACGAGCGCGCCCGCGCCGAGGCCTGGCTGAGCTACCAGAGCATGAGGCGCAACTACACCCTGGAGGTGAGGGAGGGGCGCCGGGACCCCGGGGGGAGCGCGGCGGGAGGAGAGCAGTGAGGTGCSGAGGGAAGGGACGGCCGTGGAGGCGCGGCGGCCTCTCCCTCGCACCGCCCGGGCGGCCGGGAATAAACATCGYAATTCCGAGTCATAGCGGCGCAAAGGTGTTAAAAATGGAAGCGCCGCTGTCGCTGTGGTCTTTCCGCCCCCAGCAGCTCGGCCGAGGAGCGGCACAGTGGCCTCRGCCAGCAGCGCTCCGCAGCTGCGGGGGCCCGACGAGATGCCCAGCGCAGGTGATCACACTCAGGAGTTGTTTATTAGGGGCTTGCGCGGCCGCGGCACGGCCCGGACTGGCTGGTGAAGGGTAAAGGGTAAAAGGTGAAGAGTTGGTCACGTCGTTCTTGAAAACAGGAACACGCGCTGACGCGCCCGCGGAGCTTCGGAGGCGCCTTTGATCGGTGCCTTCCTACAGTAAAGGTGGCGCTTGTGATAAACCTCGGGGGTTGCTCGGATCGCCCGGGCGGCTCTCGGGGCAGTCCTGCTCCCCARGCAGCTCTGTCACACCGCGGACGGGCTGCGATGCTCGGCGAGGAGCCTTGCCTTGCCCCGAAGGTGTGCGCTCCCCCGGCCCCGTGGTGTCAACGTAGCCCGACAAAACTAGAGCATCGAATTCAGTTTGGTTCTGTGTTTTACACTTTCTTTTCCCTCTAAATTGTTACCGTTTGATCAAAGATGGAGAATAAAATTTCAAGTGTTCGTTGGATTTAACTTCTGTCTTTAGGTACCAGACCGAATGATTGTTCTGCTGTGTAATACAAAGCAAAATGGAAATTTTGTTTTTCTTTTCCTGGTGTCAGTTCAGGGCAGAGGACTGTTTTGTAGTAAGAACTGAAGCCTTTTTTTTTAGCCTTTTTTAAAAATCAGAGCAGTACAAAATGTTGTAGGAGAAGAGCAGTGCTAAAATATATTGSTACACTTTAAGCCAAGTGTGAAATTTATAATGGTAACTGGTAATTCTGCACCTTCGGTGCAGTTCAGTGTTGTCTATTTAGCACCTGTTTTGTTGCAGTTAAAAACCCAAAGCACAACAGAACTTTGAAACACCAAATCAGCTTTGTCACTGAACAAACAAACTTTGTTGAACTTGAACTGTTCAGGACACAGTTCTTTTCCCTGATGTTTTTCTTTTCAGTGAAGTTTTTTAGATGCCTGATGTTTTGATTCACAGGGAAATGACATGCATTGGCTGGCTTGTGCCTTGTACGTGGCTTGCAGGAAAGCAATTCCAACTGTGAGCAGAGGAACAGCGGAAGGAAATTATGTATCCTTAACCAGAATCTTGCGCTGTTCTGACCAAAGGTAACTTTTATTCTTGCTGACTTTTAAACACTTATAAAATCTTAAAAARTGCTTATCACCTTGTGAAATTTGGAAATGGAGGATAAAAGCTAGATGTATTTCTTGTTTACCACTTTAAAAGATAGAATTTATATCACTGGAATGTTTGTGTTATAGCTCACTKCCACAGAAGTAGGGCAGCTCCTTTGGCTCAGTACTGTATTCAGAAAAACCCTGTTTTTTAAAATAAAAGATTGACTTCCTTCACTCAAAGGAGAAAGAAGTCAGTCACTGAAGAACAGTCAATTTTTGGAGTGTGTAAAGTGTGAACTTGTTAACACGAGAAAGCATTTTTAGTTCGTTGTGAAAATACACAATTTAGCTCCCTTTTTGYATAAGAAAACTTCACTTTTTGCTTGTTATTGCTAAAGTCACTAAATGAGGTCAGAATMAGATGAACAAATTTTTATCAAATGTTTATGTCCATAAGTATTAAAAGAAAAGCTGAAACAATTTACTTAATTTATTAGCAATCTCATTGTTTTCTAAAAATGTAGTAGATTGGTGCAAAAAGGAGAGAGAATGCGTATTTTCTCCATTTCCTCTACTGTTGAAGCGTTGCTATTGGTTGAAACAGTGCAAAAACGGTTCTCTGTAACTTTCGTTTTCCAAATCAGAAGTTCAGGAAATTAAATGTTGGTAAATTGTTTCTGTGATTTGGGCTATCAAAGACTAATAACACTAAAAAGAAGATGTAGGTGAAGAAACAGAAAAGGAATTAAAGCCAGATTTACAAAGTGCAGTTTGCAAAAACTTAAGAGGTTTTTTTGTACTTTGTAGAATATTCTTAGCACTGTGGAGCTCACAGTTCATTTTATTTAAGTTAATAAATTATTCAGAAAAACATGAAGCAAGTCTGATCTTAGAATAATCTGACTTTTGGAGTTGWTTTTGTCTTTGTGAGGAAATGCCAGACTCGTGAGTACACAGTTAACGTGGTTATCAACCTAAGATCTAAAAATATTTCACTGAGCTGTCTGATCTCATCCGTGTTTATGGGTGAAGGACTGGCTCCGTGATCGTTGTCATGTTTGCAATGCCACCATTTCATCAGTAGCTTGGGAAGTAGAAGTTGTACTTCCATTGAAAATGTATATGAGTTTATTCCTGCAGAGAAAACAAACTGCCTTTCACATCTCACTTGTTCGGTATTTTCAGCCTGATCGAGTTTTTTAACAAGATGAAGAAGTGGGAAGACATGGCAAATCTACCGTCCCAGTTCAGAGAGCGAACGGAGAGATTAGAGAGGAACTTTACAGTGTCTGCAGTCATTTTTAAAAAGTATGAGCCCATTTTTCAGGACATTTTTAGGTATCCTCAAGAAGATCARCCTCGTCAGCAGAGGGGAAGAAAACAGAGGTATGTTTCTGTTATTTCCAGRCTGAGTTTTAGACCATTACTTAGTGAAAATAGAGTGAAGTTGCTTGGTTGTTTTTGTTGTATTTTGACTGTATTTTTATCGATTTCTTTGTAATATCAGATCTGTCCTTGCTTGAGGTAATTTTTTAATCTCTCTTTTGGTTTCAGATCTGAYAGGGACAGGAAGTCCCAAAGCTGCTGAGTTTCTGATGATTTGAGGGGTGGGGGAGAGGGGACAGATATCAATCAGCCTGTAGATAAGGGAAGAACTAGTATTTCTGTGATGGGAGAGGCAGCAAGAATTTAATGATCTGCATGGCTTTAAAAACTCATAGCACTGCTCAGTCTGTTTCACTGCCCAGTAACCCCTACGGATTTCTTCATAGATGCAGATCTTGTGGATATTTTASTTTGTAGTGGAAACTTTGTTTTTTRTTGCTGTTSGTATCAGRACTGTAGAAATGAACTRTTAATGCAGGCTGACACTGGGGTTCCAGTTGTGCCTGCACTAAACCTGTGTGCATCTTTCTGTGTTACCTTTAATCAGGGTTTTGTGAGAAAGGGTGTAAAATTTTGGCTACACTGTAAAAAAGCTTAATTTTCTTTTTGAATTATTGACTACTATATGATATTTTATCTTTTTTGATTCATTGAGCTTACTGTTTTCTTGCTGTATTTTCCTCCAAAAGACGACAACCATGTACTGTGACTGAAGTTTTCCAGTTTTGTTGGGTGCTGTTTGTTCATGCAAAAGGTAAGAGATCTGAAAGGGATTAAATACAGTTATTACTGTATATCAGTCCTTGAAACACCAGATAGGTGCAGTGTACATATAACCTTTATTGTAAAAGCAGCCTTCAAGCTTACAAGGACAGTAGAGAATTTCAGGTGTTTTTCTTGATAATGACTGTTGGGAGGAAAAGGAGGGAGCTGCATCACTGATTACATTTTACTTAACAAGCAGTTTCATACATACTAACTTTATGAAGAATACCGTGTTGATAGCATATCCARTTGAATTTTACAAGAAAAATAAAAATTTATAGTACATAAAAGCTGTCAAGTTAGTAAGTGATAATTAAAGAGCACAAAAATGCAAATTGATTGTTGACTGTTAAAGCATTCGTGTGGGGTTTTGTTCTGTGTGTTTTGGGGGTGGACAGTAAATCCTTATCACAGCAACCACACATGAGTGGCAGGCCCAGGCTTGTCTGTTCCTGCAGACCATTGCCTTCCGTTCATGCACTGCACTTCTGGCATATTGTTTGTAAGAATTGCTCTTTAAACTCTTCTATTTCTTTCTTTAAAATCAATGGGGGAAAAAATCTCTGCTGTACTGAGGTAACTGTTTTGTATTATTTGGTWTGAGGTTCTGAAAGGGAGCAGTAAGCCATTGTTTGAAATGTCAGCAACAAGAAATTACTATGGAGCTACTTGCACTGTGAAATTATATTTATTTTTGACTGTGCTGACAGTAATGATTGATGTGGTAGGGATATTGAACCTATGTTATGACACTTATTTTGAGAATTTTATTGATTAAAATTTAGCTGATGGTATTTAGGATTTTGATTGCTTTGCTGTAAASCTTCAATGATTTGGAAATAACTGATAAGTGGGTAAAGTTAATTAAAATTTCATCTAGCATTCATTATTTTAAATAGTTTAAATTACCTGCATTGAAATTATTTTTCATCTAACAAGCRTGGAACTAGAAAATAACATAAATTTGAGCAAAGTAGTATGTTACTGATAGGAAAATAGCAGCGTAATTGAGAAAAATTCTCTAATCATATATCCATTTGGATATGTTCTAAGTGAGTATATTACTGTATGATAGCATTCTTCAAGAATTTGAATCTGTTGTTCAGAATGGGCTCAGCTAAGTGATTTGATGCTTCCCTGAGGAAAAAAAGGGGAGGGGGAAAGAGTGGAAGAGTTACTAGTATTAAAGGAGTGATAGAAACGTCATTCTGTGCATAAAAAGTAATGGAATTGTGATTTATGTTATTAATTAATTATAGTTTATTTTGCAAAACTGTTTTTCAGCTATGGCCACTCCTCTAGAGGCATATCATAAACATAAATTAGTTTAGTAAAGGGTAATRACTCTGAATGTAATCTTTGTGAAAGGCATAAGAGTGAAGAGGTTACAAGGACTCTTTTCTGCAGGAAGATGATAAATAAAAAATACTTAATAAACCAGATCAGAGATAGGCACATTTTAGCTCTTCTGTAAAGCACAAGAGAAATTAAGTTACATTTATTACTGTTTATAATGAGCATGCTCCCAGCAAAATTTTTGTAAGAAAACAGATTGTTGAAAAATAAAATCTGACTTTGAGTTCAATACAGATTTGTTCTGRAGAGCGAGGATTAGGGGCTGAAGGAGGCAGCAGTTTCTCAGACATCTGAAAACCTGGCTCTGGCCTTGCCAGTTAAAAGTTCTTTGCAACTGTTTACAGCAATGCAAAGTCAGGGAAAAGGGGAAAAGTTGTTTCTCAGAACCCATTCCACCCCTCTTGGCCTTCAGAGCAGGATTTGCTTTGGGAAGATGCAGTGGGAAACCAGTAAAGGATTGGATTTTTCTTCCCTGAGGCAGTTTGCATTATACAGTTTGTACTGCTTCAAGTTATTTATGCACTGTTTAAATTATTTTACTGTGAATGAGGGAGCAGCAACACAGTATTTATCAACATTTTGATAAGATTTGATTTCAAAACAGCATAATATATTTGAGTTCCTTCACAATTGCTGTTGTTTCTGAAAAAAATACTTTACATTTTTATTTTTTTTATGTTATTAAGTGTGAGTGTGTTTTACTGCCTGTGTTGCTATCCAGATACTTATAGTCAACAAAGTCTGTTTTTCCTAGATCCCATTATTGATTGTAACACAAACATCAACAGTTTCTTGAGTTAAAAATTCTTAAATCCATGCTAATTTTATGTCTTATATCTTTCTAATWTTGAAGGAAATTTTCCTATGATCAGTGATGACTTGGTCAATTCCTACCATCTCCTGTTATGTGCTTTGGATCTAGTGTATGGAAATGCTCTGCAGTGTCCTAACCGTAAAGAACTCCTGAATCCTAATTTCAAGGGTATGTTGGAAAAAAAAACTGTCTAAAGTTTGCAAGAACTTCTAAGGCTCCTGAAATGAGTATGAATCTACATGGCAGAGGATAAATTGAATAGTGTTGATTTGAAATGCAGGACAATTAATATTTTCTGTGTCTGGCTACACAGTTCCATTYCAGTTAATGTAGTATTAATAACAGGCTACTGAATTTTGTTGAAAATACATTAAGTCAAGGATTTGATGTACTGTGGAAATATCTTTGAAGGAAGTCCCAGAGTAATAATTTGAGTTAATGAGGGTTTAATGTCAGTGAAAAACTGCATAAGGACACAKCCATCACTGGACACAGTAAGATTGGAATGTTCCTATGACGCAGTAGTTCAGAGAGACCCAGGGCTCAAACATGAGATTTCTTTCTCTCTCATTTCTGGATTGCTGCTCTTCTCTCTCTGAAAAAAATGGAAGTGCAGGTTGACTCAATAGCCACAAATGCAAATGAATGGTGAGAAGTTTCCATTGAATTTCTGATGTAACTCTTCTCAAACTTGCACTTCATTYTCAGTGCTGTGCATTATTGACCTTTACTTGTAGTGCTTCAGATGTGACCTGGGACCATTGTCTCAAATAAATATTGTAGTTCACAAGTGTTTGACTTTTTTTCCTATTAGAATTGATAAATTTAACTTTTATCACGCAGTCACTAATGTTTTAACATTTCTAATTCAAAATTTGCTTTCGATAACATTATCTGATCGAGTGGACATTATTATGTAATTAGTAATTCTTTCAACAAAACTAAGTAGTTTACGGTTTTAATTTCATGCTGCCTGGACTACACAGCATAGATTTTAAGTTTAATGAGAAAACAGAATTTGAATTTGCAAATTTATACAGTATTCTTAATTRTAGGTCTACCTGAAGACTTCCATAGTAAGGATTATAAAGTATCATCWGATCCTCCCTGCATCATTGAAAAACTGTGTTCTTTGCATTATGGATTAGTTTTAGAAGCAAAAGGTATAAAGGAACATTTTTGGAAGCCCTATATTCGGAAGCTCTTTGACAAAAAGGTTGGTCAATAAATTTGTAATGTAGAAAAATCTCTTCTTGAAAACCTTTATAAGAAATGAAATGCCCATCCTTTGTTCTTCACTGTCTTACAGCTTTTAAAAGGAAAAGAGGAGAATCTGACTGGATTTCTAGATCCTGGGAACTTTGGAGATAGTGTGTAAGTCTGTGTTTGTGGTTTGGTTTGCATGGGTGTCCCTCTGTCACAGCTGCACGTGTTCCCTTATCTTAGCACTGACACCTGGCAGTTGTCTTGTGTGTTAATGTCCATCCACCACTGTCCTTCTCTTCCTGGGAGTGCTGTGGGCTGAGGCCTCTTGGAAGGAGGAATGATGCTTCAGGATGGTGTTACCTGATGTCTGCTTTTATTCTTGTGTTTCTCTTTCTTGGAGTTTATTTTTTGTGTGTAACTTTAAGAGTTACTATGTAAAAGCTGTGGGAATGCATTGAGTTGGAAGTGGGAGGGAAAAATTGGGTTTGGTGGTTTGTTTTTTTTTTCTTTATGAACTCAGAGATGTTTATAGGTGGGACTTGTTTTCTTTTAATGGTATAAAAATGTTTCAATGTAATTTTTGATATGATGATGTATAAATTTTGTGGGGTTTCCAGAAAATTGGAGTTCTCAGTATTTTACTGTGTTCCTCCTGCAGCTGGATAAATGGCAAGGTRTCAGATAGGTAGTGAAAATAATGTCCTTGCCACTGTAATATTTAAGATACTGTAGATCTTAAAGGAGCTTCAGTCCTTAGGTGAGGGTCAGATCAAGTTTCAAGTAGACTTCCCTCAGGCCAGAACTGTGTTCATTCCATGAGTAGGTGAACAGAGCAGTCTCAATAAAAGGGRTTTGTCTCTGTCTTCCCTTCCTGCTGTAGCAAAGCCATCAACAAGGCCTATGAGGAGTATGTTCTGTCAGTGGGAAATCTGGATGAGCGAATATTCCTTGGTGAGGATGCAGATGAAGAAATTGGAACTCTCACGAGGTGCTTAAACACACCTTCAGGAATGGAAACAGCTGAAAGGGTGCAAGTGAAGCATAATTTGCAGCAGCATTTTGACAGGGTGAGTATGGCATGGTCTCTGGTACCATTTTTATATGCCACCTGGCAGCCTGTGGAGACAGAAATAGAACACACCTAGGAATGTGGGGAGAAAATGGGAGGAGTATTGGGAGCTAGACTTGATGGTAAAGAATGTAAGGTATTTATTGAGATGAGTAATCATGTGGYTAGATAATTTGAAGGGATATCCATGATGTTGCATTGTTTTAATGTGATGGCTTGATCTGATGCAAATGAACTAAAGTGCTAATCAGGAGGTTAACCTTCTATTAAAGGTCAAACCTGCTGAAAGAATGCCCTGGCTCAGTCCACTTTGCTGAGCTACAGCTGCCTTCATTACTGAGGGGATAGGAAGGGACAGCTGGGGATCTGGGGGTATTTTTTAGACTGGTCCAGTTGTTCCACACTTCATTTCCAGCATCTGCATTTCACATAGGTCACATCCCCTCTTTTTGTACAGAACTGTTTGATACAAATATCTGAGCAACACAGACAGATTCTTCATTGCAGGCTCTTACCTGAGTCATGGTMTGCTTTGGGCTGTTTGATTAGGAGCCATTTTTCTTCCATAACACAGAGTAAGAATTCTGCAGATTGGTGTTTGTAGGTTATGACTTTTATCAGTTTTATAATAATGTGGATATAAATAGTGGTAATTTTTTTATTTTCAGTCCAAATCACTTAGGATCACAACCCCCCTCACTGGCCGCAAGTACATTAAAGAGAGCAACCCATATGTGACACCTGTTTCCATGGCAACCTACAGCCTGAGCCGCCTGCATACSATGCTGGCTGGGCTGAAAAATGCCCCCAGTGAAAACCTGGAGCAAATACTCAGGTAAGTTTGATTTTTTAGCTAAATAATTCTATTTCCTATTCTAGTTTTAGTAACAAACATTAGTGCTGAACAGTGTAATTTTAAATGTGAGCCAGTCTTTTACTCCTGGAGTAAAATGGAATCCAGAGAGACATTAACATTTCAAAGGACTGTTCTCATTATTTAGACACATCTGTCCTTAAGAAATTCATGAACATCCGCCATTTAAAACCCAACAGTTCTGAGCTTCTCTAACGACAAGTTGCCAGTGTAAAATTTTCAAGACTTTTCTTCATACTTAACAAGTGGCTCTACCTAGGAAATCACTCCATACTGTAGGATATGGAAACCAAACCTTAATTCGGCATGTGAATAAACTGTTGCTTCAGGAAAAATGTATTTTAGAACAGTTTTTATGTCATGTAGAAAGTGCTRTTTAAATATCTCTCCCTGATCATGAAAAGATGAGCATACTCAGTACAGTGTATACAATAATATGCTGTGGATGTTTTGCAGTTACACACATATGGGTCTGTTTGTATTGCTGTGCAATAGATTTCCAATTTTATGCTTTCAACATAGAAAAAAATGGGGCAGTTTCAGTCTTAGTAAGAATAATATATTGAAATGTTTCGGTTYTATTTCCAGGTCATGTTCCAGAGATCCTTCTCAATCCATTGCAAACAGAGTAAAAGAAATGCATGAAGTGTACTGTCAGAGCACACAGTCTGAAGGAGAATTCAGTAATTTTTCCAAAGGTAGGAAACACTTTGCTTATCCAGATAAGAATTAAAATGCTTGTAGACASATCCATCTCTTATAATTAAGTTTTACATACAGGTTATGCTTTYGCACAAGTGTCTTTTCTACTCCTCTTCCCTTTTCCTGTATTCTTAAAACATAGCAAATTTCAGTGCTGTATAAAATTCTGTAATCTGCCTTAGCTTGAATTACTGGAATTTGATCAATTTCAGTASTAGAGAAGTAAAATGAAAAACACTGTTAAGTGTACCACTTCTTCTCTCAAATATATTAGTGATGTCATGGATTTCTGTGATGGTAAAGGAAAATCTAAGTAACTGTAGTCTTTAAAAACCCARCGGCAATTTTGGCTTACATACAAGGATGGATTAGTACAGGTATTAAAATCCTGCCAGTATAAACACAAAAACATGATTTGCAAAGTTGTCTTGATGTCTGAAGTGCCTGAAGATGCAYTGAATATAAGGAAGATGCTCTTGACCTTGTTTTTTAATAAGGCCTTCCTTTGTTCTTGTCAGCTTAGTTGCTTCAGTGCTTTTTGTTGCACAATTCAGTTCAATGCATTTTCTGAAATCGAATTATATCTGTTACAGCAGTATAAGGATTGTTCTTTTACGTGGTGGTGTCATCAAAATCTGGGTTCAGTAGCAAGTTACTCTGCTCTGCATTCACAAGTCAGCACAGTGTAGGAGAAGGACTTCTATTTCAACTTCAGATTAACTGGTTTAGTCCTGAAAGAACTGTAGCTACAGCAGCACAGAAATACACATGGGCTGCTGTGGTATCTCTGTATCTGAAGAATATAATACTTTTTAATTGCAWTTTACAATATTGCTTCTATTTAAACTTCCTGCAGATGTTGCTAGTAAACATTTTCGTCGTGCTGAGACGCTGTATTACAAGGTCTTGGAGTCAGTCATTGAGCAAGAGAGGAAGAGACTGGGAGACACTGACTTATCTGTAAGAAAAACTAATCAAATGGTTCCTTATGTTTAAAGTTGGACCTGCAAAAAAAGAACATAGATGTTAGAGCAGAATTGTCTCATTATTTAAAATAAGAGTAAATCTCTGAGAAGAATCCTGTAGGTACAATKAATGGAAAAGGTTCAAGAAATTATTTGTGCTTGCAGACACAAAGATACGTTAATGAGTAAAGATGGCTCTTTTTGAATTCTGTTCTGTTCTGTTCTGTCCCTTACAAAATAGCTTCACTTTTTATAAGCTTAAGAACCTTACTGTTGAGACAGTAAAGAGTGTTTTATTGTTCTATCGTTACACTGTAAAACAAGCTTTAAAATTTGCAACTCTTGCAGGCAATACTGGAGCAAGATGTGTTTCACAGGTCTCTGCTGGCATGTTGCCTGGAGATCATTACCTTYACATACAACCCACCTGGAAACTTCCCGTTCATCACCGAAATATTTGACATTCCAGTGTATCACTTTTACAAGGTAATGTGTTTGAGAGCCAGAAATGCTTATCAAGTCCTGTGTGCTCATTGACCTGTGTGACAGCATAGGATTGAGTCACAGTAATGCAGCCTTAATATTTCTAATAGTCTGTTCTTCTCTCAAAATCAGGAATTGGAATTTGATCTTTGTTTAAGAATAAATGTATGAAACAAGTGCTAATTRTGTTAATTATTAATGAATTGTGTTAATTACCCACTGCACAGGTAATTGAGGTTTTCATTAGRGCAGAGGATGGCCTTTGTCGGGAAGTAGTAAAACACCTGAACCACATTGAAGAACAGATCCTGGAAAGTATGGCATGGAAACGGGAATCCATACTGTGGGACAGGATCAGAGAGAATGAAAACAAAGTTCCTACTTGTGAAGAGGTGAGCACATCTTTCTGTGTGTTATATATTTTTTGTAATCAGACAGGAAAGCAGAGAGAGGACTTTGTATCCTGAAGGAGAGGCCTTGCATGGCCCAGTAGCAGTTCYACCATCCCAACCCTTCAGTGCAGGGAAAGCAGTAAGTGCAGTGTGCTCTGGCCTGGTCAGGGTCAACTCTGTGGAGACAGGAACAGAGACAGGCAGCAGAGAGGATTCTAACCCAGTGTTTTATCCAGTATTTCAYTGGTATAAACAAAATACTCAAATAGGGAAGGTTTGGACCGATCACACTTGAAAAGATCATTAAACAGACATGGTAAAAAGTGCACACAGAAATAGTCACAGAAGGACTATTACCATCTCTGTCTTCCAGAGCAATCCAATCACTACTCACTACTGGTTTTGTTACAATAGTTGGGCTTAGGGTAAGTTTTTTGTTTTTCTTGTTCTTTTTCCACAGAGTTTTGCTGTTCAAAATCAGTAGCACAGTAGCTTTTAAAAATTAGCTATATAGTTAATGTGATACAGACTCTCTAATAAAAGTATAAATATTTTAGGTAATGCCACCTCAGTACTTTGAGAGATCTGCTGGGAACAGTGTTGTGAGTTCACCATTGACACCACGGCGAATAAATGAGGTTCGTGCTGAAAGTGGAGGACTGGGAAAAGGTGAGATTATTTTAAAGCAGAACATGCTGGGCATTGTTTACTTAAGATTAAATTACATAAGGAAGGAAGCTGCTTTAATGCCAATGTACAGTTAGCTGCAAACACATTTGTAAATGGTATTTATATTAAAACTCACAGAGTTGCATCAGAGGTCTGAGGCTGATGGATTCATTGTATCAGTGTGAATAAAATACTGCTTTGATAGGGTGTTGTCACCTGATGGATATGGACAGCATGTGTATGTATATGTTAAACAGGATTTATACATGCACACACACACAACTTAAGCTCTGATTAATTTCCTTTATTGTTATTGCCAGAAAAGAAATTCCATTAACTTATAGGAATACTAAACATGACATTATTAAAGATGAAGTCATCTCTAAAAGCAAGCTGTAGTTTTAAATTTTTTTCCTGAAGAACTTTGCATGACATATTTTGGTTGGCATTAGATTTCTATCACCTTTTTGTGTAACAAGAGTTAAACATATATATATGTATATTCATATATGTGTGTGTGCTTTCCCTCCCCAGGCCTCTCCTCCCCTCCAGCCACCCTGTAYGACAGGTACAGCTCTCCCACAGCCAACCCCACGAGGCGGCGCCTGTTTGCTGACAATGACAGTGCCCCTGAKGGTGGCACCCCGGTGAGGGTGCCCCCGCAGCCCGTGGTGAACACKGTGCCAGTGCAGAACGTGAGCCCTGAAGCCGTGTCCGTCACTCCAGTGCCCGGCCAGACCCTGGTGACCGTGGCCACGGCCACCGTGACAGCCAACAATGGGCAAACGGTGACCATACCCGTGCAAGGTGAGGGAAAAGCTGCWGCAGAGCTGTTCAGCCCTGTTCCCATCAGTGTTAGAACAGAGCCAGGGAGAAGGGGGGAACAGTTGGCCTGGAAAAAGTATGTTACAGGATTCATAAGTAGGAAAAATTGTTTGAATAGACAAGCAGAATTTAAGGACAGAACATGCACAGCACAAGGATGTTCTGACTGCCAATGTTTATTTTATAAAACAGATGTTTCAGTAAGCCCTCCTTCCTGAACTGGCATGGGGTGAAAGCTGCATTAGTATGAAAACCTTAGTTCAATTTCACTGTCTTCTTGTCTCATGATGAAGAGTTTAAAGTATTTTCATTAAACAGTTTCATATAMAATAACTAAATGTATAGTTACAAGCAGCTAATGAAAGAAGTACTGAATTATTTTTAAAAACTGAAACGCACGAACACATGCACATTCCCACACAACTTGCTCTTATTTCAGACTCTTTGTTGAATTACAGGTATTGCCAATGAAAATGGAGGAATAACTTTCTTCCCAGTCCAAGTAAATGTAGGTACCCAGCCCCAAGCTGTGTCTGGGCCCATGCAGCCTCTGAGTGCCCAGACTCTGGCTGGCACCCTGAACACGCAGATGGCTGGGGCAGCACTGCAGCTGCCAGGCCAGTTAACKGTGCAGCAGATCTCCCCTGGAGAGCAGAGGCAGACCCAGCACTTCACTGCCACGGCTGTCAAACCTCGCAAGACGGGCTCACTTTCACTCTTCTTCAGAAAGGTGTGTTTGCATCAGAGTTTGTTTGCTTAGTTCTTATTTGGGTAAACCTGCCATAATTTAAAAAATACATACTTATTGTAATAATAAGAGCATATTAAATGTAAAATTAATCTATGTCTTTTGTTATTCATACACACCTAAAGAGTAGTTTTTTTCCTGCATGCCCCTTCTCACTAGCAAAGGTGTGTGCTGGCTCATCAGGACTTGTGAAGTATGTTCTGTACTTGGCCAGCAGGTTCTTAAAGGTGTCCCTTTGTTTGAAGGCTCTTCCAAAGAAAGAGGTTCACTTTTGAGACTTTCTGGTTTAATAAATACAGTGGTTGCTGTCGGCAGTGCTCAGGACAGCTTAKAATTTAGGCTTCAAACAAATGTTTTCTTAGCACTGACACAGTACTGAGAATGTCTGTGTCTTCATTAAAAAAGTTAAATTTGCATTTAGTTRTTCTTCTTTTGGCTTAGCATTTGCACAAGTTCTACAGGTGTGCAMGTCTGAGCTACTCTTTTGCTGGGTCAGAAAGCAGTGTTGCTGTGGCCCTGAGCACAGTGTCCATTACCACAGGTGTATCATTTAGCCAGTGTTCGTCTGAGGGATCTCTGTGTCAAACTCGATGTGTCTGATGAGCTGCGCAAAAAGATCTGGACATGCTTTGAGTATTCCTTGGTGCATTGCCCTGAAATCATGATGGACAGACACCTGGATCAGCTGCTGATGTGTGCCATCTATGTCATGACTAAGGTAAAGTGTGAACAAAGAAAAAGCAAACATAAAACTCCTTTAAAAACTAATAATCCAAATATTATAATTCCTCAAAAAARCACAAACCAACAAACACATGCACAACAACTCCCAAACAAAACAAAATACAAAACCTGGAGGAAAACTGAGAACCTTTTCTCTCCATTCCCCTTAGGTTACTAACGAAGACAGATCATTCCAGAACATCATGCGCTGCTACCGGACACAGCCRCAAGCCAAGAGTCACGTGAGCACAGTCACTGTTTAACACTGTGGGCTCTGATTTATTAAATGCCTTCATTCTGTTTTGGGAACAGATCACTTTGCAAAGCAACATCTAGTATTAAGGGGATGCAGTCTTTGAGCCATTTCCAAAAGGAAGTGGTTATAGCAAAAATCCTGCACTGCCGAAAGCTTTTTATGGTAAACTGTAACTAAAATAGAAAATGCYGTGACTTACAACCTAAGGAGGCAGTGCCCATGGGATATTATTCCTCTTAGGAGGCTGTATTTTGCCCTGCAAGAAGCAGTTTGCTGCCCCAGTGAAGTTTCTGGCAGCAGACACATCATGCAGGCAGTTGTTCCCTGACTGGGTGRTTGCCCCACCCTCCCCTGCTCACACTGCTCGTGTCCCTGCAGGTTTATCGCAGTGTCCTGATCAAGGGTCGCCGCCGCCGCCGYCACTCGGGCAGCAGTGACAGCAGCAGCCAGCAGAACTCACCTACAGACAGGAGCAAAGACAGGAACAAAGAGAGAAGTGAGTGATTCCAAATGCCAGCTGTCTGGGTTTAATTCCATTTCCAAAACTGTGTGCATAGACTACGAGTCGGATTTTGTGTTGCCCAACCCCAAACAYTTCCTCCTTTGGTAAACTTAAACAGAATTAAGAATGCATCAATAACATTTAAGAGTTGCTGTATATTGCACCCACTCTGGCAGTTTCAAATCTCTCCCCACATGTACTTACCTGGGGAATTTGCTGTGCTGGCCGGAGCTCTGAGTTCAGCTCACACACCAAAGAACAAGTCTTTGCAGAATGAGGGAATCTGGGCTAGCCCAGGTTCACAGTTACTCTTATCAGAACCACAGAGCTGCAGCAGTCTCTTTTGTGGCACTGTCTGTCTGCAGAGATAGGAACACCACCCACAGCATTGATTTCAGCATAGCTGACAGCTCTGGAGATTATTCCCTTGATACATAAACTGTCACATTTTTCCTTGAATTAACTTATAAAGGAAACTGAAGAGGTGATGCTGTGTATTTCTACCAACAGTTTTCAAGATATTGATAATAGATCATGGTATAAGCTGTAGGTATTAATATTTTCTGTCATTGAGAGGAGAGAAAAAAAATAGATGTATTTTGCAACTTCCCACATTAAATTAACAGGAAGTATAACCAAGCCAAGTATTTCTTCTACTAACACAAAAAAGATTACCATTCTTTCCTTGAAATGGTGCCAGGTGGCAACAAGAAAGAGCTACATCTAGAAGGGAAACACAAATGCTGAAAAACGGAGTTTCAGCTCTTTTTATATTRTCATGCAGCTCCTACAGAAAACCTCTTGGAGATTATCCACTAAGACTTTAGTGGCCAGTGGGTTCCCGGTCCTGTTTCCCAAGGGTGGCTCTGTGCGTGTGTGTGTGTCAGGGGCTGCAGGGCTGGCAGTGCCTGAGCAGTGTGGCTGTGCCCATGCAGGCAGCCGTGACTCCAGCCCGGTGATRCGCTCCAGCAGCACCCTGCCCGTGCCCCAGCCCTCCAGCGCACCCCCGACCCCCACCCGCCTCACCGGCCCCAACAGCGACACCGAGGAGGAGGAGCGGGGGGACCTCATCCAGTTCTACAACAACGTCTACATCGAGCAGATCAAAGACTTTGCCCTCAAGTACACTTCAAATGCAGTAAGTTACAWTCTTTGCTTTTCTTTGGTAATCTGGCCTAATAATGTGACCAAACTGCCAGTTGTTGTATCAATGTCTGTATGGTATCACATCCATGCAMGAGCCTTGCTGCAGTGAGCCCCGAGCTGAGGCTGCAGCTGCTGAGCTCTCTKTTCTCTCCACAGACAGACTCCCCGCCGCTCTCACCGTACCCCTTCGTGCGCCTCAGCTCCCCCCGCCGAGTGCAGCTCTCCCAGCACCACCCCGTGTACATCTCGCCGCACAGAAACGAGTCTGCCCTCTCTCCCCAAGAGAAAATATTCTACTACTTCAGCAGCAGCCCCTCGAAGGTGAGACTAAAGGGTTTAAATTYGATTTTCTAATCCCTTAATTGTCTTTTGTTTGTGGTAGTGCCATTAGAGCAAGACTGCAACTTGATGTTTTGTTTACCTTGTCCCAACACACCCATCATCACTTAGGGCTCATGAAACTGCCAGTGCAGCTGTCACAGCTGCAGGCCTGGATGGGCCTTTGAGCTCTACAGGCAGAGACACAAACTCCTTTGAGTTTAAGACTTTGTGTGCTCTGGTAATAGAAAGACCAGTACAATGATTAAGTACCTTAATACAGTACAGATCTCCACAAAAGAGCCTGTGCAGTCCCRCTGTAATGCACCTAACAATGGTTCACATCATATTGGGGTAATCYCAAAATAGTGAAAGCTAATCGTTCTTTTGCCCCTCTTCTCCCTCCAGAGGCTAAAGGAAATCAACAGCATGGTTCGAACRGGAGAAACACCCACAAAGAAGAGAGGCATCCTCCTGGAAGATGGAACTGAAGCCCCAGCCAAGCGAATCTGCCAGGAGAACCACACAGCTCTGTTGCGACGACTCCAGGACGTAGCGAATGACCGAGGGTCTCACTGAGTCTGCACAGCTCTTCCCTCCCTCCTCTGCCTGGGGCTGCTCAGGGACCCACCAGACCTTGGCCAAGTGTCCCAGCCTCCTCCTTGCCCCTGCAACTGCTGACTGCACTGGGCCTGAGCCAGGGCATCAGGGGAGACAGCACTGGGGAGGATCCACCTCAGATTCCCGACACAACCCCAAGCCCTGCTTAAGCTCATCACAAGGCAAGTGACCTCTCCAGCCTTGCCTGGGGAGCACATCCCTAAGGCAGCTGTGGCCCTCGCAGCAGGTATTTACAGCTTTGCTSTGCTCTAGTCAGTGCCCTCAGCCCTTACCAGCTGTGGCCAGAYAGGTCCAGGCACCGCAGCACGGAGCACTGCACCAAGGTACCYACAGTCAGCAGCTGGGGCTCCTAACTAACCACCTCCACAAACTAACAGCTTTGGAGTAACATTCTCACAGTCCAGGTCTGCTCGGAAAGGGACAAGGAGACTAAGGGTTTTGAGCCCTGAAGGAAGCTGGATGGATGGACTCTGTCCCTGTTCAGGATGTTCCATGTGCCCTTGAGAACCATTACAGCATTGAGCTTCAGTSTGTGGCCCTTTGCTGTACCAAGGGAGGCAATTGTGATTGGTTTGAGCTGTACAATGTTTGAAAGTTTTCCCAAGGTGACACTTGGGAGTGGGCTGTGAAGCATCATGTTTAATACAGATGAGTTTTGCTGTGTATTTGCAATGGCACTTTCTAAATGTGAATATTTTTTGCAAAGGCAGACTTCAGCTGTCTTTCTGTATTGAAACATTTTTTGTATTTATTTCAGTCTGATATCCCGTTGCTCCTCTTGTCAGCAAATGGCATTAAGAATTCATTGCAACTCCATGTTTATGCAGCAATGAAAGCAGGAAGCCAGGGATGTCTGCTTTTTCAAGGAATTTTATATGCCTGTTGCTTTTGTTGATAGTCAGGCACTGCCCCCCTTGCTCACTCAGCAGCAGGAAGGTGGTGTCCATCTCCTAAAACATACACTTAGATATTTTGTTTGCTTGTAAAGCACAGGGCTTGGAGGCTTGGCTTTGTGTTTTGCTTTGTTTTTTAAATGGTCTAAACCAGGCTGCCTGGGAGTAATCTCTCCCCTACTAACAGGATCAGCAGGTGGTGCACATATTACTCTTACCACTTGTTTTCATTTAAAATASTTCCARAATACCAGACTTGTTAGGAAAGCAWCAACCCTCTCCCCRAATATAGGAGCCAGTCCACTGCTGGGGAGGGGGTGTTCTTGATGTAAAATGTGGCACACTCAGGTTCCAGAAGATTTTCTAAGAAAGCAAAAGCTAAACTCTGTTTTCAGTCATTCCTGCCCTTCTGAATAATAGGAAAATTTAAGGCTCAATTCCACTGTAAATTTACCTAAAGTTAAATAAAAACGTTTTTTCTTACCTGCATAACAAAAAGCTGAAGTCCAGAAGTTGTGTAGATGTTTCTGTAAAAATATTTATGGAAGTGTCAGACAATTCTTGTTGTTACTATTTACTTCACTTTGTATGAAAATATTGCAATTGTATTTTTCAATAAAGGCTTTGTAAACTCAGTTTTATGTTCGTCTGAAAAAAGCATTGTATGTGCAAAGTCAAAAAGTCTGCAGCAAGGACTTCAGTCCCACACTGCAATTAACGATTTAAAAATAAATAAATAATCGTGTCTTAGTCACAGCACAGGGGAAAGGATTTACTCCTGCCCTGGTTTAGTCACCGTGGTTGTTCCTGCTGCTCTCTTGGTGGAAGAGGAGGAGGAGGGTGTCTGTCACACTGTACAGCACAGGAGGGCTCCAGAACAATCTGCTTTGCTTTCCCTGCAGGAGCTTTYAGCACAAGATCTCACACATCCAGTGACAGCAGAATTATTTCCTGTGTGCTACATGCTCACATTTCAACCGAGGGAAATTTCTAAACATTCTTCAGTAAAAAACAGCTTTGACTAYCTCAGGCCAGGTGCTGCATTTGTACAGCTACGGATGCACTGTTTTTTCCCTGCGTTTTTCCCTGGGGGGGGGCTGATACTATTCCATCAACTGCTGTTTCTGTCTCTTTCTGAAACCAAGTTGTTCAAGTTACCCTCAGCTGTCAATTATAATGAAGGTGTAATTTCAGTTTATACTTCCAGTATAGAAGCAAATGCTAAAAAAAAACCACAAAACAAAACACACAAAAAAACCCCAAAAAACAAACCAAAACCAAAAACTTAACAGAGGTGTTCCAAAGAAAAAGGCATGCAAACTTGATTAAAAAAAAAATCTGAATTTGCTTCAAATAATTTCTTTCACAACTCAGAAGAGTTTGTTTGGAATCCAGCTGGACCCTCAGCAAGAAACCACTGGTGTAACTTACAGACCTCTTAGAAATATTCTTCAGAGTTGWGAATTTCAAAGATATTTCAGGTATTCAGAAACATCCCCTTCTCAAAGTATTGGCCAGACCTTAGTCTTTCATTAAATTATTTACCTGTTGTAGGAAAAATAAAGCACAACCCAGGAGAAAAGGATTTGATGTCCATGGCACTGTTTCAGTACTCAATTCACCTACCTTGCTCCTGCAACAGCTTCATTTAATACATAAATCTGATTACAGAAATGCACAGTGTTCTCTCCCCTTTCCCAGTCTAAGAATAATTTTTCAGATTATTCATTCTAAACCAAATTCTATATTCTCTAAATGAATAAAAGTATTCTCAACAAACTGCTGTTAGCTGGATTTAGCTTGGAGTCATCCAACCTAGTGACCAGCCTTGCAGGGGGCCTGACAGCTCAGAGAGAAACAAAACTTAATCTAAAAACCATCATTTTCACAACATTATCTATCCTGTCATTCCTCCTAGACATTGTTTTTGCCAAATGATGATTCCCGGCCAACAGCAGCACTGGCAGCTGGGGCTGTGCTGCAGCAGAGACCMAAGAACAGCCCAAAATTAGAAGGGATTTAACTTCCACACCAGTCCTTCACCTAAATGGCTTAGGAAATGTGCAAGTCAGTGATTTATTAGAGGYTTCTAAATAATCATAAAACTGAATAAAGAGCAACTGTCACAGTCTGGTTTAGCTTCAGGCCTGCCCCTGCCCATTCAGTACAAGGCTGGGCCCATCGTCTGCTTCACATTAGGAACCCTTGAACTAAAMCCTTGCCCATGAGAAACCTGAAGCATWTAAAATTTCAGYTTCARCCCTCCCAAAAAAAGTTAGAGAAACAACAGCAGCAATGGAACTCAYTTCACATTTTAGTGGCAACACTCCAGGGCAGTACATGTACCCTCAAACTTTTCCCACTTCCTTCCCCTGTAAGGCACACAACACCACTTCCCCAGGCAATACAAACKCACCTTCAGATCAGTTCCTCCATTCCTGTCCTCTACTGCACACTCAGATCAGGCACATGACAATTGCACGGCACTTTSAATGCCTCATAACCTGCCAGGTGTCCAGAATACTGAGGCTAATGGCACATTAATGCCACACAGAACAGAATGCTGACCAAGGCAAGTGCCACAAAGCCATCTCATTCTCCTGTCACTGAGTGTATGACACTACTGGGCAAGTCTCTATTTCCTTAGAAGCCGTGAAGTTGTTCTCAAAGAGAACAGTGAAAGCTTGTTAATGACAAGTAAATTTAGTAAGTCAGATAAAARCAAAACATAAAAAGCCCAACACAAACCCCACATCAGACCACTGCCCAYCCTCCTGAAAGAACCACATCATGTTCACAAGTCACTACAGGCTACTCCAAGACAATTGGGCTGGCACTAATGCAAGGGGAGCCAAAGGAAAAGCTGCCCAGCTCCAAGGGGTTAACACTACAAATTTTGATAGGACAATCTTGGGAGGCAAGGAAAGGCATCACACCAGGCTGAGGCATTAGGAAAACTCATGTGAAAAGAGTCTGTCCCAAGCTCACTTGTGCTTTGGAGACATTTTCCTGTATGGAAACACAAGTCTCTTCCATACAGAGCTGCTCCTGGCATCACATGAACATCCCAAAYACATATGCACATATGTAGCCAGATGCTCCCACTCATCACTAAATCTCCACAACACAGACTAACAGGAACAAAAGCTAGAGTACGGTTTCTTTTTATTTTAAGATGTCACTATTAACACACATTAGTCAAGCTACCCTAASAAATCCCCTAGATATTTAGGGAATYTAAAACCCTCTAACATTTTATTAGCTCAAGAGACCACCATTAAAAATTGGATTTTAGTGTTTCTGTACTAAAAAGTCTAACAAGCCTGACATTCTGCTTACACCCTGTCAGACTAATGTGCGCTTTAGTGACAGTATCCATTTACAAATCAATAATACATCATACATCATCCCCAGCTTTACTTCTGGAAAGTGCTAAATGGAGTCAATGAACCGTCTATTTACAATTTCAAATTCTAACATATTTACAATAGAAACCAAAAGTATTTAAAACCATTAAATATAGTGTTTAACTCTGCTATATTARTTTACATGAACACAGCTTAACTCTGGCATCATATTTCCAATACTAATATTTCTGCCAGTACTTTAAGATTTTTCTTAAAAAATTGCKATTCCTGGAGGGAAAAAATAAAAGCTTAAAAACCAACCCAAAACCTCCAGGCATTTCAGAGCCCTGAGGAATTACCCACCCTAGACAGTCTTCAGGTAGAAGTACTGTAGTGTTCAAGAGAAACTTCCAAACTCCAGGCAAGCCTTTAAAACCTAATGCATATGTAAAACATTAAGAGTCAGTAATCCATTGAACAGGTTTACTGGAGTCACTGCTACCATTCGGGTTTTACTAATCTGTAGTCAAGAAGGAAACTGCTGCTTTGCTGTTTCTCCCTCCGTTACATTCCCTCCACCCCCAGAAAGTGTTTTGTGCACCAGTGTCCAGGACAGCTAAGTGGGCATCATCTTCTCTTCTTTGCTGAAGGGCTGGACTGAGCCAGGCTTCACCCAGGACAGGCCAGAGACGTGCATGCTTTTGCAGTGTTGATCTTCTGGCTTCTTCTGGGGAAAACAAAGTTCAAGTTACAATT